TGTTATTATAAAAATAAGGGTTTAATAATAATACTTATATTTATAGTAATTATATTATTAAAAATGTGACTTTCAAAATGTTTTTTCATATTTTCCACTGAGCAAAAAACTAATATGATGGGTTCTTGCTTTAAGGTGCCTATGTCTAAATTCTTTTAAAAAAAGGCTCACTAATGGCTGTAAAAAAAGTCAAAAATCTTGTGTTATTCAAGATTTTTTTTATATATGCTTCTGAGCTTTTTTTTATATATAACCCAAAAACTTGTTTTATTGTTGTTTTTAGCTTTAACCATTTGCAACTTGGAGCAAACCTTCTAAATTAAATAAAAAGTACTGCTACATTATTAAGCAAACTCAATGGTAACCCAATTGTAGATGCAATTGTAGATGCTCTTTAAGAACAAATTATAAAAAAATTAGCAAAATTACTGATTATTTTACTAATAATTATATATTTTATATATAATAATTACTATTAATTATACTGATTATTTTACAAACAAACAAATACTACTTGCTGCTGAAGTCAAACTAAAAATGATAAAAGAAAAGAAAATAGTGAAATTGTTCATAATACTTTTGTAAAAAAATAGTAAACCAATAACAATAAAGCATTAGCACTAGCATAGAGCTGCAATTTAGCTAATATTCCATTATGAAATCTTGTAAACGTTGTAACATGTGTATGTTATAGATTAGTGAACAGAGAAAAAAAAAACTTTCTAGAAGTTTGATAAAACAATGTTGTATTGCAAGAATTGATTTCAACAGGATCTCACTGGATGTTTGCACATCTCACTGGATGTTTGCACATAATTTAGAATAAAGCTTTGATTTATTCTAAATTATATACAATTGTGTTATAAATTTTTTAATAAATTTTTAAAAATAAACTTTTGTTCAATAAATTGATAAACAAAACATAGCCTTGACTAAGAACACTTACTATATATTTTGATACAGTTCAAACTAAAAACACGTAGGACTGTTAGGAAACAAGTTATAAAAAATGTGCAAAAAAACAACTAAATGATAAAAATATAAGTTTTATAAGAAGCACTGATGTTAGTACACATGGCAAATATAGTGTATACAGTATAAATAAAAAATATACATAATTACTATTCAAAATTAGTAACCGAATAAAAAAAAAATCACCTTTAAAAGAACACAGATTTTGTATTAGTTTGCCAAAAACATTGCAAAATTTAGTGAATAATAATAGTACAAACGTGAATTTTTGAAAACTTCTGAAAATATTGCACACTACTTAATTTTACAGTTAATAAAATATATAGAAGAAAATTAAAAGCCAAAAAATGATTGACAGAAGATTTAAAAAAAGTGTAAACTAGAGATAAATATGGTAATATAAATTAAATCAGGAAAATATGAAAACAGGAAAGGATTCCAAAATCCAATGTTCTAGAAAAAAAACTAAATAAAAGAGCTTTTAAGCATGAAGAAACAGCTACAATGAAAGAATGCAACACAAGACTGTTTTGACAAATGAACAAGAAACATTCAATTTAGCAGTCATGCAAGCATGGTACCCACACCTAAAGAAAGTTAATGTGCTCAAGAATGTTAAACGCCAAGTGTCTAAATAGTACTTAAAATCAGAGAAAAGAATTCAATTATTTGGCATAGTATCCTGAAAGAAAGACATTACCACAGAGACCTAATACAGTTGATCTCTCTGATTCTATTATAAATAGTAAAATTGATATCAATGATTTACAAACCTGTATTTTTATTTATTATTATTGTGTTTAACAAGTATGGAATGCCAAAGTAGAGTAAAATACATTTAATTTCTCTCTAATTTTTGGAACAACTATAACTTTAATTATACTCAAAAACTCTATCCAAAAATAGGGCAACATTTTCCCTCTAATGCCATTATTGTTACTAATTAAGAAAGAATTCATTAACATAGACAAAAATTAAAACGAATTTAAATTTATAAATGTTTTACCACGTTCATTAACACTTGTTTGAGTAACTGATACAATATCTTTTGTTTGCTCAACAGCATCTTGTACAACAGTGTTAGCTTCATTGGTTGCTTCATTTAAGTCAGCTGATAAACATGCTGCAACCTAAACATTTTGAAATTAATTTGTTATTTAAAAACAATTAAGACTTTTTATATGAGAAATTTATATATATATATATATATATATATATATATATATATATATATATATATATACATATATTTGTGGCTACAGCCCCCTCAGGCATATAAAGAGTTAAACAGCTGTGGTAAAGTGGTTAGAGTTTTGGCTTCAGAACTGGTGGTTCGTGGTTTGAAGCTGGCTCTGAATATATATGCAACAGTGGTAAAGAAGGGGAAAGTGAAATTACATGTTAAGGGGAGAGTGAAATTTCATGTTAAATGCTATTCTGTAGAGCACTGTGATTAGATCATAAGAACCTCTTTCACCTAAATAACTAGAAAGAAAAAAATCAACCTAACTTGTTTTAGCTCAACTTTGAACCAAAGCTCAACTTAACTGAAATGAAATTGAAATTTTTATTGTTAACTAGCTCAGTAAATCAAACAAAAAAGAGTTAAAAAACGAATTCAAACTAAAATGAATATTTTAAACTAGTTACGCTGATGAAGTTTTTAACAAATAACTATTGAACTTTATAGCAAAATTTTAGTTAATTTTACACTAATTTTTAAAACATTTTAAAACATTTATTGCACCCAAATGTCATTGGGACTTACTCTAACCTTTAATTTTTAGGTCTTTCTATTTCCTCCCCAGCTTATCAAGACTGGCCCATTTATTTAATTTTGAATAAATGTAAAAGAATTACAAAATATTTTTAGTTTTTAGAAATCTTTCTTTGCCCTTCAATGTGTTAAATGTTCAGCTTTAACGCAGTGTTTTAAATTCTGGCTCAGAACCATGAGAATACTTTGGGCCTATAAACGACAATGAAAAAAAAAAAAAATTACAAAACTCCTATTTAAATTCTCTTCGGCAGTGCTCTGTGATAAGACATATATTAAGAGAAAGAGAGAGAGAGGGATAAGGCGCACAAAATAACAGGCGGGTAATAAGTCTAAAATAATAAAAAATTTTGTTTTGACCTCCGAAAATAAATTCTTGCCCATCAAAGTTGACCGGATAAAAAATTTGAATTTTAAAAATTATGTTTTTACAAAAAAAAAGTTGCTTGAAAATAATCAATATTTATACATCTAAAATATTTTGGGCTGAAATATTGCAAAAAACATCTAAATTTTTTCATATTATATATGAATCGCTAACTTGAAAAAGGGGACATATCCTACAAAAGTTCACATAACATGTCCCCTTTTACAAGTTAGCGATTCATATGATGTAAGCCATATTCACAATATCATTTCACAGTAAAATCAATGGTTACTTTTTGTATACTTGATTAAAGTTCTCATTTTATTATAATTTAATAAAAGCAAGTTTCTTTTTTTCTCTTATTCAATTTTTTCATAAATTTTTTTTTTATTAAATTTCTTTAATAAACCTCTTAAAATTTAACCACCATTTTAAAGTCATTGCAATGAATGAACCGTTTAGCAATTTAAATAAACTATAATTAACATTAACACATTTTTTAAATAAAGTTATCAATATAATGATTCTCATTAGTAATTTTCGTTCTATAAAAATACTTTATAAAACATTTTATAAAACATTTAGTTTAAATATTTGATTTTAGTTAGTTGAATCTTTTGTGCAAAAAATAAAATACTACGCTAGATTAGACTTTATACAACATGCTTAAACTATTTACAGCTACACTTGGTTTCGATTTAAAATAACGTCACATGATATTCTTAATAAAATTTAAAATTAAGAATGGCTTTAGGGGGGTAAAAACCTACAAAAAATTTTTTAAATTAAAACTTTCTTAAACTTTCTATAATAATAATAAGTTATTCTTTAATTTATTAAAAATCTGAAAAAATGTAAACATGAAAAAAATAATAAAAACATCTAATACAACTTTAATGTTTCAAAACTTTTTTAATCCCAACTCTGTTTTTAATCAAACTTCCTTTTTTTAATCAAACTTCCTTTTTAATCGAACTCTTTTTTTTAATCCATGCACATGAGTTATTTTAGAATAACGAGGTTTTAAACAGTTTATTAGAGCTTTAGTTATTTACCATAAAACTTATTTATAAATTTTTGTAAAAAAAGCAATGATTTGATTTCAAAATATGTTGAAAGTAATATATATATATATATATATATATATATATATATATATATATATATATATATATATATATATATATATATATATATATGTATATATATATAAGTACTGTAATGAATATTTTTAATACCTGAAATCCAGCATCACTTAATTTCATATTTTTTCCATATGGGGCTTTAACTGTCAAATTTGCTTCGACAATGTCAAACAAATTTCCAGAAATGCTAAAGTGTATGCCATTATCTCCAATATCAATTGTAACTGCTGAAGAAATCCCCAAAATTGAAATAGCACCTTGTATAAAAAACTTTGCCTACAATTAAAATAAAAAAACTATAAAAAAAATTAAAAGTATCTAATGTACTTAATATAAAGCACTAATAAGAATTTAAAATAAAAAATCAAAAAAAAAATTCAACTCACTGAAGTAGGAGATAACTCTATAAAGACCTTCGGACCATTTTCTTGATCTTTTAAATTTCTTGCCAAAACAAGAGCACCATTTAAAATGTCAATACGAGATAACTCGCAGTCAACTAGAAGCTTTTTTGGATTAATGACAACTTTACTTTTTGCTTTAAAACCCAGAACATTCAGCATACCCTGTAGTTGGAAACCATTTTCAATTTTTGTACCAAGTTGTTTAATTTCCTTGCCTTAGAAAAATTATGATTTATAAGTATCAAATAAGAAAAACCACAACAAAAAGTAAAAAAATTATAAAGCATTTGAAAAAGTTGAAATGCTTGAAAGTTTTAATAAGAAATAATATGCAGAGGACATTGCTAAGTTTGCTTAACTGTTGGTACAATTTTATTGAAAATAAAATAAAAATTTAAAAAAGATAAAAAAAAAATTATTGTGTCAATTTAATCAAAATCAACTGTCATAAAATTTTTATTTATCAATTTTTAATGTTAAAGTTTTGATCCTTAAAGCTCAAAATAGACTATTTAATATTAAAAGAAAATTTTCTTTCTGAACTCTAAAAACACTATATATTACTTTTAAATTGTTTAACCTAGCAATTTAAGCAAACAAACAATTATAAACTTCACTTTAAAATAATAAACCAAAAATATAACCAAAAACTGTTTATACTTTTTACTGTTTAAATATATTTTAAAATAAAACTTTTCACAGATTTATTTCTATTTGTTAAAAACATATTTATTTCAAGGGAATACTCTTGTAATCAAATTGTAACAAAAAAAAAACTACTGTAAAAAATAAAACTGCTAAATTATACAAAACGGTTTAAATTTACAAAACAATGTTCATTGTAAGAGCTACTTTTTTATAAGTTTTATAAAAGAGTTTTTCGTAACGTATGTAATGGAACATGGGTTTCTAAAATGACACCAGTACATAATCACCATCATTATGATTAAGACAATTATTTTGTATTTACAACGCTTACCTAACTTTCCTGTTAAAACTATTCATTTATATTTTAAAGGTATTGCAATCATTCCAGTTAAAGTTTCCTTGAAAAATTTTGAAATATTCAACTACAACTGAATTTTCACATTTTACCTAGTTGTGCACTTGTTTGATGCTGTTTTTAAATACTTTTCTTAACTTTGTAACTTAGGACTGATTCTAAGGATGCAGGGTAAAGACACAAAACATTTTAAATACATTAATAAATATATATGTCTATACATACATACATACATACATGCACACATACATACATACATACATACATACATACATACATACATACATACATACATACATACATACATACATACATACATACATACATACATGCTGACCTCAATCTTTTAGAGGTCGGCAAAAAAAAATTTGACACAAAAGTCTTCTAATAAAACATCAAAACAAAGTTGGCAATTTTTTGCCGACCTCAAACACTTTTAGGTTGGCAGTTAGGTCAGTTGCAGAATGTCGACCCTAATTCCTAGGGTTGATATATATATATATATATATATATATATATATATATATATATATATATATATATATATATATATATATATATATATATATATATATATATATATATATATATATATATATATATATATATATATATATGTATATATATATTCACAAATATACATATAATTAGTTAGTAAATTAAACTACACCAAGTCTTAAATTACACCAAGTCACAGCCTTGAAAAACTCATCATCAGCTGTATACTTGACTATACCCAACTTGAATGTCTGCCACTATTGTGTGGCATTCACAGTAAATGATAAGCTTTAGTAACTACAATGAATGTAAACTTTCCAGTAGTTGTTTTAACTTATTAACTGATGTTGCCTCAATGACATTATCTGGCAAAGCATTCCAGTCATTGACTACACAGTTTTTAAAAGTCTTGTCTTACTTTGCAGTTCCTGATAATCTCACAATGAAATCTGATTTGATGTGGAGCTCAGGGTGCTATGCTGCAAAACTTTACATGCTAATCAGTTATGTTTAAACTGTTGTTAAGGTTATATTGTTTAATAAGATTGCCTCTTTTTTGTCTGTCTTCAAGTGTAATTACTTTCTGTTATGATAATATGAAATATGGAGAATATATATAAATATATATGTTTTGTATGATACTCTACATACTTTATGTATTGTGTTATTTTGTTATAGACTAGTATAATTATAGCTCTTTTGAGCCAACATAATTAATTTGGTTATTCTTTACAATCAAAAGAGCTAAAATATTATTATGAAATAAAAGAAAGATGGATCGATACATGAAACCTGACAGACTTGGTATAGATCCAAACTCAGCAGATGCAGCAAAAACATATAACCATTGGTTAAGAACATTTTACAATTTTGTAAGTACAGTTGATGATAACTTCATTAAGCTTAATCTCCTAATAAACCATATTGAACCTAACGTATATGAATTCATATCAGAGTGTGATGATTTTGAACAAGCAACAAGTATTCTCGAGTCTATCTACATAAAACCAAAGAATGAAATATTTGCCAGACACATTTTGTCAACACGGAAGCAAAAACCAAGTGAAACAATAGATCAATTCCTCAATGAACTTAAAAAATTATCTAAGGACTGTAAGTTCACTGCTGTTACAGCTGAGCAATATAAATCTGAAATGATTTGCGATGCGTTTATAAATGGCTTACTCTCCAATAGTATACACCAACGTTTACTAGAAAACAAAATATTAGACCTTTCATCAGCCTTTGACCAAGCTAGATCTTTAGACGTGGCCCAACAAAACTCAAACTTATACTCTTAATTGACTATACCTACCTCTGCCTCTATTCAGGAAATCAAATCACCTTTACAAAAACAGTCCATGACTGATAATCACTTACCTGCTACAGCAAAATCAAAACAATTGTGCTGGTTTTGTGGAAAAATAAGACATCCACGTACTAAATGTCCTGCTCGCGAAGCTATCTGTCACAAATGTAAAAAGACTGGTCATTTTGAAAAACTTTGCAGATCATCTAATGTTTCTGCTGCTATTCCTAAAATTGATGATGATTACTTCTGTGCCACCATATCAGCTTCAGCAAACTCTCTATTCAGAGTTTGTCATAACACCATTGTTAATGATAGATATAAAGCAGAAGCATTAATTGATAGTGGGAGTACAAACAAAAGTTTTATAAGCAACAAACTAGTGACTCTACTCAATTTAAATATTATTTATGAACAGAGTGTAATTGGAAAGGCATCAGCTGCCTTATCTGCAAAATCAGATGGATATTGTTATGTCTCAATAACTCTTCAAAACAAAATTTATAACAAAGTCAAGTTGCATGTGCTGGATAACTTATGTGTAGATGTTATTCTTGGCACAAATTTTCAAGAGTTGCATCAAAGTATTACCATTAAGTATGGTGGGAAAAGACCACCCATAACATTTGCTGCTTTAACAACAATGAAAACTGAACCTCCTGAATTATTTGCTAATCTCACGCAAGATTGTCGACCGATTGCCACTAGATCTAGAAATTATTCTCAAAGGGATAAAGAATTTATTAAATCTGAAATCTACGGCCTGACTCAAGCAGCAATAATAGAGCCTAGTAATTCACCTTGGCGTGCCCAGGTCTTAGTAGTAAATGAAAAAACTAAACGTCGCATGATTGTTGATTACTCTGAAACTATTAATAAGTATACTCAATTAGATGCATATCCTCTACCTAAGATTGAAATGATTGTGAATATAATTTCTAAATACAAAATTTATAGTACTCTTCCACCTTCGCTCAGCATACTACCAAATCCCTTTATCAAAAAAAAAGATTGACCATATACTGCTTTTGAAGCTGACAATAAGTTGTGGCAATATACTAGAATGCCTTTTGGAGTTACCAATGGATCTGCATGCTTTCAACGCAAAATAGATGACTTTGTTAGAAAATAAAAACTAACTAACTGCTTTCCTTTCATTGATAACATTACAATATGCGGTAATAATCAGAAAGAACATGATGAAAATCTACTTAAGTTCAGATTAGCTGCCATTGATGCTGGAATTACATTTAATGAAGAGAAGTGTGTATTTTCAACTTAGACTTTAGATTTTTTAGGTTACCGTATATCGTATGGCTCTTTAAAACCAGATCCTCAGAGACTTGCTCCTCTCATTAAGTTACCCCCACCTGATAATGCAAAGTCTTTACAGCGGATTATTGGAATGTTTTCGTACTATGCAAAATGGATAAGAAAGTTTTCAGATAAAATTAGACCTTTAAACTCTGTTACTCAATTTCCACTCAATCAGCAGCAAATATCAGCATTTGAAACATTAAAAAATGAGCTTGTTCAATCTTCCATGCAAACCATTGATGAGAATATACCTTTTACTGTGGAGACTGATGCTTCTGATTTTGCCATATCCGCCACACTTAATCAGGATGGAAGACCTGTTGCTTTCCATTCACGTACCCTTCAAGGGAGTGAACAATACTATTCATCAGTGGAAAAAGAAGCTCAAGTGATAGTTGAAGCCATAAATCATTGGAGTCATTTTCTTTTGGGTCGACATTTCATTCTCATCACTGACCAACGATCTGTGGCGTATATGTATGATTATAAATTAACCAGTAAATTAAAGAATGATAAAATAATGCGTTGGAGAATAGCTTTGTCTCCATATTCTTATGATATCCATTATCGTCCTGACCAATGTAATAGTGGTCCAGATACATTTACTCGAGTTAAATGTGCAGCAATAAGTTCAGAATCTTTATATAATTTGCATGCTGCACTTTGCCATCCTGGTGTTACTTGCTTCCATCATTTTATTCGATCAAGAAACCTCCATTATTCAGTAGAAGATGTAAAACAAATATGTAGGGATTGTAGAATATGTAAAGAAATAAAACCCAAGTACTACCGCCCAAATGATGTGCACCTGATTAAGGCGACTCAGCCATTCGAACATATATCTATTGACTTCAAAGGCCCATTACCTTCTTCAACCCCTGAACAGTATATGCTAACAATTATAGACAAATACTCACGTTTTCCATTTGCTTATCCTGTGAAAGATATGACAACTCAGACAATAATAATCTGTTAAGCTGATCTTTTTTCCTTGTTTGGTATGCCTAGCTATGTTCATTCGGATCATGGATCCTCATTAATGTCTTCTGAATTAAAGCACTGGTTCTTATCAAAAGGGATCACAACTA